TACAGCAGCGAAGTTCTACCTATTTTTAGGTTACCTTTCATCTGCAGAGTATCCACACAACTATTTATATCTTGTCACAACTTAAAAGTGAATGTATATGTTGTATTTTGAGAACTGATTAACTGAAGTAGATATTGTTTTCAATAAAATATTAAGATATTTTTATCTACAGGTTGAAATTTAATGAAAGTAAATATGATTGCTAATTATACTTAGCATAAGGACATAAGTATAAAGTATTGAGATCTGAAGATGTTCGCTAATAATATGGATCTAGTTCATATTTAAATAACTTTATCAAAAACTTTAATGTTTTAACACTGTGAAAATTACAATGTCAAATGCTAAAGAACTAGTGAGCCATGATGTTATAGAATTTTAACATATAATTACATTCTCTGTTGTTATAGAACAAGTGTATAAGAAAACACACAATCACTGCAATTTACATGAAAAAAAATATTATTTTATCAAAATTTTGCACATGATTTATAAGAAATACAAGGCTTTATAATGTGGAGGCAGCTAAAACAGAGTATAATTGTTTGCTTGTTTTTTGATATCCACACAAAGCTGTAGAAGAACTATTTGGGCCACCAATATTGAACTGATAGACTAGATGGAAGGCAGCTAGTCAAAAGCCCTCATCACTAGCTCTTCAGCTACTCTAATAGAATAGTACGATTTGACCATCACTTTCATCATGTTCCCACAGCTTCAAAGCATGGAATGCATTTTTTTTTTTAGTAACGAAATACAAACCATGGACTCTCAGATTCATAGTCTGGTATACTAACTATTACATCAGAGTAAAAGATCTCAAACATGATCGTAGACTATGAACTTTGCTGGGCTCTGTAGAGATTTGCTTCGCTCTACAATTACAACTTGATTTAATGTCACATAAATGTGTTAGTCCAAGAAAAAAAAACAAAAAAAAAACAGTATTTACATTCTCAACAAGCCTATCAAAACTTATAATAAGTTAAATGTGTTATTTTCTATTAGTTTATAAAAAATCATACTTTTGTTTGTAATTTCCTGATTTTTATTCATGCTAGCTTTAAAACAAACTAATTTAGGTAAGAAATCTAATTTTACATTTCTTTTCATATGTTTACTATTGTGGTTTATCTGTTCTGGATTATTTTTGCCTGTTTAATTTTTTTTTTTCTTAAATGAATAAACAGATAGTATAAAAACTATTTTAACAATTTCAGCAAATATGCTAAAAATTTAAACCACAAGAAGATTATGTCTAAAGTTTATAATGGTTCTTATTTGTATAATTATTGAATAAACCTAAAGAAAAAGATTTTTTCTAAAGAAGGTATTTTCAGTTGTGAAAGAGAGAATTGTGTTTTATGTAACTCAAGACAAGAAAACTACCAAAACAATAAAGAACAAAAACAAAGAAATTTTGTTTTTCATTAATAACTCATTTAATTGCAATTATAATAATGTAATATATCTTATAGAAAGTGCAAACTGTTGCAAATTCTATATTGGTGAAACATATAATTTAAGATTAAGGATAAATCACATGCTAAATGTCCCAAAAAAAACAACAGCCCACTATATGCTAGCAAACATTTCAATGAATGTATTTTGCTAAATTTAAAATTCTAAAAGAATGATATTTTCCCTTTCTGGGGCATGTAAAACATAAAATATTATCGTTTGAAAAATATTTTATACATTTTTTGGCACCCCTTTAAATAGATAGAAGTGGGCAGAAGTAACTGGTTATGTAAAGTTAGTACGAATTGTGAAACTGTTACTACAACTTACATGAAAGACAATAAAGTAAGTAAAAGGTATGAAATTATAGAATAAATAAATAGCATTCCTATAATAATAAGAGAAAGTATAATTAGAATTAGATTTTAATTTAAAAAGGAAAGTATATTGAATACATTTTGACTAATTATATTTAGTTTTGAGCATTTTTAATATACTTAATTTATACATGAAGTATATTATATGTCTGTACATTTAGAAAACTTATGTATTTAATTTAGATGATTTATGTTTAGTTGAAAACTTGTATTTGAATGTTTTGTTATATGTTCTAAGTAAAATTATAACCTGAAGAGGAATATTCTTTGAAATCATGAATAAAGGAGGGAAAAATAGGATAGTCTGATATTCCACTGTTTTGTTTTATATATATATATATATGCATGTTGATTAATCAAACTTTATAAAATTAATAAAAATGTGTCAATTTAATGAGAGCATTTGTGAGAAAACATTGAATGTTCATTGTATGATCACTGGTTCTTTAAAGTTTTATCACTCAGTTGACAGAAAAAAACCATTTCAGTTCTTAATAATATTCTAAACAGCAAGAATGAAAACCAAAACTTGTATTAAATGTTGAAAAATTGTTTTATGATATCATTACGATAGTTGAATGATATGACCTACTTTATATATCAGTGTGTGTTCACAATGAGAAATAATCAAACTTCATCATAAACATTCAACAATATATAATTATATTCTGACAGCTTTCGTGTTGATTCTTAGTTTGCTATCACAGCATTCCTGGGTTTATCTGTAAGCCATGACGAAGTAACAAGTGACCTCGAAGTTTGTCTCTTCTTGTAGAATTGTAAGAACACAAGTGACACTCCAATTTCTGGTAAGCTTTGTGAAGCCTCATGTGACGGCTTTTGTTTCCTTGAGAAGAAAACGTTTTCCCACACACAAAGCATATTCGAGAATTTTTTATGCATGATGGGAAATGTTCAAAACCTAAGGGAACACAAGATAAAAAGTTACAATTGACTTATTACAAAACTATAAAATATTATTAAATTTCTTTATTTCAACTGCAGAGTTTGTTTGTATCATATAGAAAAACTATCTATACATTTACCAGAACATAGAATGACATAAGCATAAAATTGATGCTTTCTCCCCACCTCCTTTTATGCCAAGGACAAAGAAACAAAATCTTATCACTTATATTTGGAACATAGTGCAAAAGTGAGAAGATACTTCAAATTTAAAAAACAACAACAACAAGAAAACCACAAAAAACAACAAATCAGAATTATTTAGGCAGTTTCTTCTTAACTAATAATAAAAACTGGATCCACCTCACAGTACACAGTATTACAAGTAGATTATAGTAAATTATCCTTTAATAATGAAGGAGTGTTAAATTGTAAATTCTGAATAATAACACTCAGGCAAGAAAAGCTAGAAAAATTACATATTATGCACAAAACTTATTCTATTTCTAAAGAGTTTGTTAGTCAGCAGACTGTCATGTACTCCATTTAAGTTTAAAAACAATTTAATACCAAAGTTTTTGCTTCTTTTTAGAAGTATATAAAACATACAAATTGCATAAATTAACTTTATAATGTAGGTACAGTTCAATGTCTTTCAATAACCAAGAAAAAGTATAAAATTGTGATTATCCATCTGAGTGCATATACTATTCAATGACATATAATCATATGAAATTCATATACCTTTATAAACTGCTGGTTATTTTAAAGATGACATTAACAAATGAAATACGTACATAGTAATTTTGTTTCATGATGATGGTTACATGGTATATAAAGGTCACACTTCCTTTACTGAGTATTAATATGTTGTGAAAATAAAACTTCAAATGTACTGTATTATGGTTGTGAAATAGAATGCACACATATATACTGTAAATAATTGACTTGCCTAAATGTGATAAAAAAATCAAACATTTTTTGATAACATATTTGAAAATTGTTCTACCATATGATATTAAAACAAACAAATTTTGGTAAACAAAGCACAGATAGTTTCTAATAAAACTTGTATGACAAACATGAAACTCTTCCAATAATATAAAAGCAATGTTTAATAATGGCTGGAGACGGCTTAAATGGGTAATGAAGAAAAACTTTAATATAAGTTTAACATGACAGCCTACTCTAAACCAACACCCC